AAAGAAAACTCAGGTCAGCCTGAGTCCACTGGATAGGAGGAAGGTTTAAACCAAACAAAAGTCACCGAGTTTGTTCTACTCATTTCCCTGGAGGAGAAAAAACATACTTGAACAACATCCCTACTGTAACACCGAAGCTATTGCAGGTTAAACAAAATACTCCAAGAACCACATTCAAGTGCAGACAACGCAATCCACTCAGTGAATCCAACCAATAAAATATACCAACACAACCACCAGCACCACCTACTGTCTCTGAGCCGAGTATGGATGATCTTTTACAGCAAATAAATAATTTTAAAAATGAAATKAATGAGCTTCTTTCACCTTCTTTCGTTCAGTAGAAACAAACTTTGCTGGGAATAGTTAAAATATAACATTGTATCCCATTTTTTCCTTTTTAGGGGCTAAAATATTCAATAATCGTGATCAATTTTGATGATAKTTTTGCTTGCATCGCTGATTCGAAACTGATTCAATATTTCGAGTGTAAAAAGCTCAATACAACGTCATTATATTGCTGTCGCTCAAATAGTAATATGTTTGTTTATTATTATGATTTTTTCATTTGATCATAAAGCTGATTTGACAAAAATGGAATGATGTGTGGTAATGTAATGTCGTAGTTTTAACTAATTAAAAGTCGTCATCACAATGTTCTTTTGAAAGACTTTCAAATAATTTTTATCAATTATAATTTGTATAGATTCGGGAAAAAACACAAAGGTAAGCAGCGACAAGCTAGATCATGAGACAGTTCTTATTACTGAGGACTGGGCGATGAAATTTCTTCCCCAACGATATAGAGAGTCTCAGACCGATTGGTTTRCCAAGCGGGGTATATCCTGGCACATTAGCGTCATAGTGAGAAGAGTAAACAACGAATTACAACAACAAGCATTCGTTCACATAGTAACAAACACCAGTCAAGATAGTGAAACTGTCATCCAGCTTATCAAGCACACTTTGATGCAGTTAAAAGATGAACATAAAGAAATCAAAACAGCTTATCTAAGACAGGACAATGCAGCCTGCTACCACAACGCACCGTTACTGGCATGCTGTCATCTTTTGAAAGAAACAGGAATCAATGTAAAACAGGTCGACTTCAGTGACCCTCAAGGAGGGAAGGGCCCCTGTGACAGAAAGGCGGCCACTATTAAAGCGCATGTCCRTCGCTTCATAAACGAAGGAAATGACGTCATCTCAGCTAGTGATCTAGAAAAAGCGATTTTATCGTATGGTGGCGTCAATGGTGTACGTGTCAGTCTAGTAGACATGGAACGATTGCAACTGCAACCCTTGAAATGGAAAGGCATCAGTACTTTTAGCAATTTCTCATATGAAGATAACTCATGTACAGTATGGAAAGCTTACAAAATAGGAACAGGACAAACCATCCAATATTCTGACTTAGCAGGTTAAGTACGCCCTAGCTGACAAATTCAACATTTGACCGCTTTTTGAGCTTAACATTTTTTTAAATATATTTTACAGTTCATGCAAGGGTAATTGTTTGCTCATTTGAAAAC